TCTTTCTCCCGCGGAGCAGCTGGTAGTTTCGAACTGCTGACCTTAAGGTTCGCAGCCCGATTCGTAACCACTACGCTACCAGAGCTCCTTATACTCTTATATATCATCTACTCACACGCCCCCTGGTGTAACAGAGGAGAACTGCCCCATTGGGTTTCCTAGGCTGTCATCTATTGTGTCACTATATATTCATATATACTCTTATAGATCATCCACTTACAGCGCCCTCTGGTGTAACAGAGTAGAACTGCCCCACAGGGTTTCCTAGGCTGTCATCTATTGTGTCACTATATACTCATATATACTCTTATTGATCATGTACTCATAGTGCCTCCTGGTGTAACAGAGGAGAACTGCCCCACAGGGTTTCCTAGGCTGTCATCTATTGTGTCACTATATGCTTGAATGTTGTTGTTGTTGTTAAGTGCTGTCGAGTCGGTTCCAACGACCCTGTACAGGGTTTCCGAGGCTGTAATTTCTTGATGGGAGCAGAAAGCCTCATCTTTCTCCCATGGAACAGCTGGTAGTTTCGAACTGCTGACCTTAAGATTTGCAGCCCGATTCGTAACCACTATGCTACCAGAGCTCCTATACGCTTATATAATCATCCACTCACAGAGTCCCCTGGTGTAACGGAGGAAAACTGCCCCACAGGGTGTCCCAGGCTGGAATATTATGGGAGGCAAACAGCTGGGTCATTCTGATGCAGAGCCGCTGGGTGAATTCGAACAACCAACCTGCTGGTTAGCAGTTTAACTACTTTACTGTGACACCTTTAGGGTCCTTTTGAAGAACTATATTGTTGTTGTTGTGAAGTGATATTGGGTCGGCTCCAACTCACAGTGACTCTGTACAGGATTTCCAAGGAGCAGCTGGTGGGTTTGAACTGCCCGCCTTGTGGTCAGCAACCCAGTGCTATTCCTACAGCATCACACCAGGACCCCAGAAGAAAGAATTGTAATAAGGCAGAGTTTTAATATGCTCTGTGTTTCATATCTTCTAAACTAGCAACACCCAAAAAAGTCAGCATTTTCTTTAAAAAAGTTAGACCGCCTTCCACATTGAGAATATCTTGTAGGACTGTTATTGTAAAGTGCCATGGAGCCAATTCCAATTCAGAGGAATCCCAGGTGACCGAGTAGAAGTGCCTGACAGGGTCTCCTAGGCAGTCATCTCCAAGAGGAGCCCTGGTGGTACAGCGCTTCAAACCCACCAGCCACACTGCAGGAGAAAGATGAGGTGGCTTCTGCAGAAATTTACAGCAAAACCTTGAGGGGCAGTTCCACTCTTTGCTGTCGGGTTGCTGTGAGTTGGAATCAACTCGATGGCATGATGCTCTTAGAAAAATTTTAATCCGTATGGGAGCAGATTGCCAGATCTGTCTTCCATGGAGCCACTGGGTGGGGTTGAACAGCCAACATTTAGGTTAGCAGCATAGCGCTTAACTGTTGTGCCACCAGGGTGCCCTGTAGCAGTGCTACATGCTATCATTTCAAAGGCATCAAACATGTATATGATATA